ATTCAATAAATTCAACTAGTGATAATTAGTAATTCATGTTCCATTTTTTACGTTAATAGATAATCAAATGAATTTATCCTTTTGCTAAGATTGAATAATTAGGATCTGTGTCTTTAAGAGTTTTAGCCATAATATGTATGATGTACTTCCATTGCATTCAATTGATATGAATCATCATAAATAAAAAGTTTGATTTTGTTGAAAGAACAATTTATAATTATTTATATAAATGTTTTCAAATGCTGAATAAATAAAATTTTATTACATTATCACTATATTCTTTTTACATATAAAACATAAAGAAATTAGAAAAATTCCAAGTAATGTTTAGACTCCTCCAGTTAATACTAAGAAATAGGCAGCTTTTACTAAGTAAATGAAACATTACTAAGTAGTAAGTAACTTTAGACTAGTAATAATTTGGAGTGAATAGCTTATATGAAAGAAATAATACCTTTTACTAAGGGATTAGTATCAGTTACTATGGGATTAGTATGGTTTTTTGAAGAAATTAAAAGTTCTTACTAAATTATTTTGTTTGAAATTTTACAAGAAATTAAAGGGGGTTTATAATCTACATATGGAAAAATTTTGAACCAATTTGGACGTGCTTTGCATAACTTTTATTATGCAACTTCTATAATTCAAATTTTTGAGCCACCGATCTACATATAAATTGACACGTGATTCCCCCTACCCTTAAGTAATTCACCCCCACATGACTGACTTATTGAGTTTACATATGTAACACAAATTCCATACCTTATATATGACTATTCAGTATTTTAATTTTACAAATTCTGTACTGATTCTTTAGTTCTATTAGCTGATCCCTTTGTTTTTGCTAGAATATTATAATTGTAAATAAGAGTCTATTAATGCAGGCACTAGAATGGGCTTCTACACACCCACCTTAAAATGTCCAATAAACTACTACTGTCTTTTCACCACCACATAATTACTAATCTTTTTTTATTTTTAGCATACAGATCAAATGGGGCAGACTGCAACAAAACAAGACAAAGTGAACATTGGTATTACCAAGAATTTCAGGGATCAATAGTGTTTGTTTAATATCACAAGATCACAATTGTAATGTGATCATGGTATTTGTCTAGACAAAAATAGTTAATATGAAGCTAATTTATATCAGATCCACTATGGAACCCAAGAATTATAGTACTATCAGAAGTATTTTAAAAAAGGAACAAGGTGAAAAAATTGCTCCTTATATTTTCAAAATAAATGATACTCAGACACTTGAAGTTTATCTAAGAAAAGAAAGAATTACTTATGAAATTTACCAAGAGGAAAGAAAAATCATAAACATTAAAGAAAGCAGAATGAAAGTGTACTATTACCCAACAAAACTGATTCAATTACTGTCACAGATGTTATACACTTTCTTCAATTAGCAAATTTCAAGCAATTACTGTCCCGGACAGGTATGATGATGATGGACTCCCAATTGGCTTACAATTTATGAGTAAATGGTAACTAGCTAGCTAACTGATTGGTTGACTATCGATGTTAGAGTGGTTAAAAAATTAATTGATTAAAATTTTTGTTTGTATTAAAGGTACAAGGAAGATCTCTTGTTTAGAGTTGGTAAAATTTCAGAAGAAATATTCAAAGATTCAAAACATAAACCAAAAGATGGATATTGGTAAAGAAACCACCCCCGAACCAGATGATGATGATCTTTCATTAGATACATTGAGTTTAGAAGATGGTATAAAGCTTCACAAGGATAAAAATGAAACCTCAAGAAAATTGGCATGGGAATGTTTCAAATATCATGCTGAGGTATTGAAAGATCCTGGAGCAATATATTGGAAAGGTTATTATTTGTTGGAAGGATATGGTGGGGTTCAGAAAGATCTACAAGAGTCATTTAGATGTTTCAAAGAAGCTGCAGACCAAGGTATTTCTGATACTTGAGTTCACTATGCATTCACTATAATAAATAAGGTTAATGATCCTTTAAAGGCTGCTGAATTTATGAAATATATGGAGAAGGCTGCTTTATATAACATGGATGATATTTTTTATGAAATTTACCAAAAAATCAAAAACAAGCAATAGTTTATTATAAAAGGCTGCTTTGAAAGGTCATGAAAAATCAATTAAGAAACTTAAAAGTTTAAATATAAATATCTATGGTGATTAAATAATATATAATAAATTTTTATAATTATTTTTTGTTTATTTGTATTTTTATTATTTATTTAAGAATGGATATATACAATCTAAAGAAATCAATTTATCATGGAGCTGAAATCACCAGAAATGCCAATATTCAAATATATACGACTTTCCGCTCTTTCCTGGGATTGAGCAATTTTGTTCTGATGTTGATAACAAAAATGAAATATTAAATCATTTTTTTAAATTAGATTAGCGGATGCCCCTTTCATATTGTTTATATTATTACATGTTTTTTTTATATCTATGCTTTTTATTTATGGTTTTTATTTTTTAATAGTCATTAATTTTTAATAATTGTTATCGGGCAAACAGCACTATTAAGCTATTTTTGGCTGCTTTGTTATTTTAGGCACAAAATGACGTCAATATGATCAATATACTATTTATACAACATTTCTATAAAATATAACTAAATCATATAATTAAACTTTAATAAACAGTGCCGTTTGAAAGAATAGCTTAATAGTGATTGCCCGATAACATCGATATTAGGCGTGCGATGGACAATTTCAGTGACATCCAGGATGCCATGATATTGGCCGCTGCGCGCCCAATATCTTATACATATAATATATTTTATAATTATTTATACATATAAGCAAGCTTTAAAAATTTTAAAACCAAATTTAAGATTGAAGATTTTTAAGATTATATGTTTTTTCTAAAGACAAATCACTTCCCGCACCATACCCAACTATTGTATCGTTCGATGGGTTTTTTTTCATCAATTATTTGTTGTGCATTGTTAATATCAGATCCTAATTCAATTGGTTGAAGCTCAGTAACATCGGTTTTAATTTTCTTTTTAAGACTAAAGTCAAAACAAAATAAAAATAATGATGTAATGTTAACTAGAGTAACGATGAGTGTCGGGCGATAACCACCACCATCCTTAAAACGCTTACCCGTGTTATTCCTTGTCGGCTTGTCTGCTTCTTTTATTTTTCTTGTCATTAAACGACATTTTTTTTTAAAGAAGTTTGTTATTTGATCGACATGTACACATTAATTTAACACTTATAAAAGATTGCTCAAATCCCGTAACACTGCTTTTTTCCTTACTTAGGATAGTTTGTATGGTTTTGGTTTTGATCTATAGTGCAAGACACCTAATCCCGCAACTTTCTGCGCCACAACGACAGATTTGGGAAAAAATTCCCAATCAAAAACGCAATAAAATTTTCGTAGTCACGTGATTTTCAGTAAGTAATTGAATGAAGGATCCAATCTACTAATAATTATATTAAATTTCTATAAACTATTTTTCGTGAATTTCTCTAAAACTTATTAACCAACACTCCCCATAAAGCAATGACCATATGAAAGCTTAGAGTATTTTACACCTTTTCAACAACTATCAAGTCTTTTAAAACGATATTGAAAAATAATCTGAGGTTCAAAGTGAAAAAGCAACACCATTTTTGAATAGACATAAATTTATGTAGAGAAGACCTTTCAATATAAAGAAGTATTCAATAGAAAGCTTTAATGTAGTAGTTTCGTTATCGTCACGTGACAAAGTTCGGCAAATAAAAATTTAAAATTTCCAATTCTTCCAATTCGTTCATTTTTAATATAAAAAAAATCGCGTGTAACACGACATTTTTGGGGTTAACATAGTAAACTCGTGCAACTTTGAAGCTAGATTTCTCCATGGTGGCGTGACATATCAACAAAATGAAATCATTAGATTGTAGAGAAAGGTCTTAGCTTTAATTCTATGAGTTTTTTTTTTGGTGTTACATTTCCATTTTTGGAGTATTTAAAAGATTTACATGACCAATAAAAAGTTGCGGGACTAGGTGTCTTGCACTATAGTTATTGCAGTCACTATATTGATCGTGTGACATCACGGGTGACTGGTATGTATTTAACGTAAAGAAATAATAATGTTACACACAAAAATCCAATATATATATATATACACAAAAACTGAAAAATCAATACATCATAATAATAAGCAGAAAACTTTTTCTTTACAAATTAAAGGCAATAAAAAATACACAAACACGGTCTTTGAGATTTGTTTTATTAACATACACAAAAAATTTTGACTTGCAAGGCAAAAAAGTATAGTAATTTTTTAATAAAAGGTTACCAATTTGTCACTTTTAAATACACTTAAAATACACATCAAATATCAATAAAAAAATAAGTAGGAATAAGTACCTAAACTTTTGCGTAGAATTATATAAATTTACTTTTACAACACAAAATAATAATCAATTAAATAAATTTTTATTTTATTTTATAATAACAGAGTAATAAGTGACTCAAATTCATTAATAAAATGTAATCTTATGAAAATGTCTAAGAGGGAGTAGTAGCAGTTGGACATAACCACTCTGAATAATTTGTTTGGAGAGGCGTGTTATAAGATCGATCACTTAATATGTCCACTGCATTATCCTATAAAGTTTTAATTAATTAGAATGTATCTTACAAATAAATGTCAAGTATCAAAAAAAAACTAACCCGGATGGACATTAAAGTATGATATAATTCCATTATTGACTCAAGGTTTCTAATACTTTTTGGAATAATTAATGATTCTACTTCTGCCAATATATATATGCCTGGAGACAATAGGTCTAAGACGCATACTTTCATTTTAAATCCAACAATAAAAACAACAATTCGTTTTACTTCATCTGGCCGTGTTCTGTTCTGTTTTATATCTTGGTCTATTGCATCCTTTGCATGTATAGCCCCTCGATAGACATCCCAGTATATTTTTTGTTCATCATTTTGACGTTTGGGACTTGTTACCTCACCAAATACACCTGTGCGCACACCATTTTTATCATTTAATTTGTAGTCAGGATATCGGCTGTATCCTCGTCGTAATTTGGAGGCCTCTGATTCTACATCTATCCTATAAAAACAATAAATGTGGATTTAGTACTAACAATTTTTACAACAATCTTCAAAATTATGTGAACGCAGCAACTGAAATTAAAAGGAAAATTTAAATTATAGAAACTATATAATATCTAGGGGTAAGTAAATAAATGGGGGGACAACTCAATGTTACACATATAGATTTTATGAATCCAAAACTGTCACGCACTATGAAATTACTAGTATTTA